GAACTCTTTGGAAAAGCAATGTACATGCCCAGAACTACACGAGAACTATTTTATAATAATCAGAACTCTCGAAATACGGCCAGCATATCACCTCTATACTCGAAAATACGAGTTTTTCGGGTAAAATAATTGTTTAAAAATTTTTTTAATTGTTTTTATCATGGGAACTCTTTAGAAAATGCATTAATACGTTCAGAACTACACGAGAACTATTTTATAATAATCAGAACTCTCGAAATACGGCCAGCATATCACCTCTATACTCGAAAATACGAGTTTTTCGGGTAAAATAATTGTTTAAAAATTTTTTTAATTGTTTTTATCATGGGAACTCTTTAGAAAATGCATTAATACGTTCAGAACTACACGAGAACTATTTTATAATAATCAGAACTCTCGAAATACGGCCAGCATATCACCTCTATACTCGAAAATACGAGTTTTTCGGGTAAAATAATTGTTTAAAAATTTTTTTAATTGTTTTTATCATGGGAACTCTTTAGAAAATGCATTAATTCTAGTCTCGAAAATACGAGTTTTACGGATAAAAAATTGTTTTATTTCATTTTAATGGATATTTTTTACTTTTAGAAGGCAGAACTCTTCTTAGAACTCATATAGAACTATAGATCTTTTAAATTTGAACAATTATTGATAAGGAAAACGTCGTAGGACAAAGTGATATGCTGCGTGAAGTTGGCATATCAGTTTGTCCTGAGGCATTTTCTTTGGTTTAATCGCCAGAACTATTTGTTTAAACTATCAAGAACTCTAGAACTATTGAAAATAAAGCCAGAACTCTTAATTATTTATGATCTTCCACGAAATGATATGCTAGCTTCACACACACCAGACCTGCCGTGTCTTTTGTTATGATAATGTGATCGAAACAAAACTCAGAGGTATAATATAATCGACATTGAATGTGGCGGAAGAACTATGAAACCCGTCGCAATAGAACGGATTTATTGCGACAATTGCGTTAAGACCTTGGAATTAAAACAACTAATATGACTCAGTTCGCATTAACGAAAGAATCTATAGAAGAAGATGTCACATATATTGAGATGTAGGACAATCAGTTTTACAAATTTCACATTTACATAATTGGAAAATTGATCCTAACTGTACGGCTCACCTTCTAATTCGCGTATTTGTTCGTTCGTATGTTATATCCAAAACATAAAAATATAAGATATATCGTTCTGATAGAATAAACATATAAATTATTTTCATATGGTATCTCATATAGAGAGTTACACGTCGACGCGATCAAATATCAACTACATTAAAAATTATAAGACTTTAGTAAGTCAAATAGAAAAAAATTTATACATATATATGCATAAAAGTATAAAACTATTTTTCGCTGAGATTTTTGCGTTTCTCATTCATAACAATACCAATATTATGTTAAGATTTTTTGTGTAAAAGATTCTGAATGGCAGTGACGAAACTTGAAGCGCAGCATCCGTACAAAGTTCAGCCGATGTGTGTCTGATAATGTCTTATTCATGAGTGATAACGGGGGGCGTAGGTCAGACTCGCACTTCGACGCCTCTGCATTGCATCTAAATTGCGAACGTTTCGTCATTCCCCCGGTCGTTTTGTCTTCTCGTCTTTGCATCACTTCGTCGTTTACCTGGAGATGCCGGGGTACGATATCTTGCGCCGCTTTCTGTATAATTCTCAGCCAATGCGACGCGTAAACGGGATTAAAATATCGTAAGCATCCGTTCGCGAAGATCGAATCGTTTGCGCGGCGTAAAATTTGCTCAATCCCGAGAAACAAAAGTATTCCATCTGATTATGTATAGATATTATTACGTTTTATGAATTTATAGATACATTGTGTGCAACAAAGAAAAATAGAAGCCACAAAATATGACATGCGAAAACGAGAAAAATTATTTTCGCTTTTCGTCTTACTAAATGACTGCGCCGATTTAGCGATAAAATTAATGAACGCCTCGCTGTCAATTCCTATGAAGCTGCTTGGGACAGATGATATCTTTCGTCGCATTGCGATGACATTTGTACGCACTACTCGTCGACAAAACTGATAAATCGGCAAAACTGATAAATGAAAGGCGACGAATGCGAATACTGCGTTATCTTTTTTACACGAAATTTGCACCCCTGGACGTGTTGATAACTCATGAACTGATCTTTATTGTGCAGAATTGCGGAATACATTTATAGCTGCTTCTCTCTTTAAAAAACAGTATTATATCTTTTTTTCAATTATATGTTGAAAAATAGAATTATATTATGCAATATTTTATGACGCCGACGATATGTTAACTTTGTTTATGCATTCGGTTGAATTATGATTATTATTCGTATTTGTATCATATATATCGATATCAGTTTATTAGAGACAAACTTTTTATTATTTCTCTAATTTATATTTTTCGCTAATACTATATGAAATAATACGCTTAATGTTTAAACAAGCGTATAAAATGTAGTGCTTCTTATTCACGTGCAGAAGTTCTGATCTACATTTTGCGTCGTCTATCGATTTCGCAATAAAGAAGCATGTCGCCACGCTCAAATGGCGTGATAAAATTTGTCGTGCTCTGACGCAATGGCTGCTTTATACCCTCCAAAGATACGACCGAGTTTCAGACGTCGCGGCGACATCCGGGCGCCGACGAGTCTGGACTTTTCGAGCATATGCGGCCCCTGTTCCCTTTCCTCTCGACGTCCCCATTTCGCCTTTTAGACATAATCCCCAGATTGATATAAATTGCACATGCAATGAACCCGTAACTTTAGTACATTTGTCAATGTTGCATCAAGCAATGCGCGATTGATAAGAATTAACCCTCAAGTAATGCGTAGTTATAGTCATAATATCATTTACTCCGAATGTAGTATGTCAAGAATATGTTGAGTAAAATGTAAATGTGTTTTCTTTTTGGTGACTTAATTTGATAAAGTAAAAGTTGACTGTCTATTATTTGAAATCAAGTTTAAATCAAAGATTACACGAGATTATTAGTCTATAATACGACAAATGTGTGTGTGTGTCGGGTCGCGCGACTACTTATATAATTATTTTCTAATTTGTATTATATTTTTTTAATGAAAATACAGGATACAGTCAATGATAAGATGAAGAAACGTTTAGATATAAATTAATTCGATATTGTCTAATTCCGGGATTAAATCGTGTGACTATTTTTTGGATGAATTTAAATTTATTCACGTCCGTCCGTTACTTTTATAGACGATTTTATACGAAGCGAGTCACGCTTCACATTTATATTTATCGAACTCTTTTAATCCCTTCACGGGTCGAATGCGTTTAAATCGCGAGTCATCGTGCGTATCGGCGCCATGGACAACTACCGAATAGATTCTGACGGCATTTTTTCTCGTCATTTAGTTAACGCTCGTAGAAACCGGAAGTTCCTGTGACTCGCTTTTCACACCGTACAGTGTACTATCGTGACCATAGAAAGACGCCTCCTTGATCGCCACGAGAAGATAAGATCAGCCGGTACCCCGCTGGTTGAGTCCGTTACCTTCGTAACCCTTTGCGATCCTATCACCCTACGCCACCTCGTCTTGATAACGGAGCGATATCGCTCGTCGTGCAAATAGATGTGCGTAATAAGTGCGAAATACTGTATTGCGTGAATAATGATTGGTTATGCTCGCAGCGTAATTAGATTAAAGTTAGAGTGAGGAAAACTGTCTGAATCGTATCGAGCATCAAAAAAAAAACCAACAAATCGCAATAATTATATCACATTTTAAGTGCTGCGGATATATGTTTGTCGATCGTACGCGAGAGAGTTTATCGAACGTCTTTCAACTGGGACGTACGTTCGAAAATAGATTGCGCGTCTACGATGCTCTCAAGAGTTGAAAATGTCGGCCAATGAATGTGGCATGGAACACGAATGAGGGGGATGCGGAAATCTTCGTTCACGCTACTTTTTCCCCGAGAAATGACGAACGAGATTGGAAACCATTTAGACGTTCTCCAATCAGAATAAAGTTCGATCGACGCGAACGTGCCACCTTGATGGTGCAAAGTAACTTCCTTTTTTTCAGGCTTTAAGGGCATGCTTGTAACGAGGTAACTCGTGTTTTCAAAGAAATTTAGTACAAAGAAAAAAAAAAAAAAAAAAAAAAATATATATATATAGAAAGATTGTGCTGATAGATGAGACTGAATCACGAATATATACGTACTTCCGCTTATTTAATCTAAGGTTTGATCTTGACTCAAATTATAGGTCCGTTGCAAATTCACAAGGGCTATATAAGAGGAAAAAAGGAGTTTCTTTTTTCCTCGACCCAAACGTTTCGTGAAATATACTGCATTTTGTGGCTTGAAGTGCTCGTCACGGTTATCTGAGTGTCACGTGCATTGGATCAGTATGTGGTCGTGTGACACTCTCGAGGCATAGTGTCACGCGTGAATGTTATTTATATATGTCGATTGATTCAGCAAAACATGATATTATTTTGCGATATGATATCCGTAATAATGAAAAACTTTATTTATCTGGTCACGCATATTTGCTGCTCTTGCAACAATGTTTGCCATAGATTTCTGACATATATGAAATAAACACGTTTCAAGGGAAGCGACAAGAAATTGTTGATAATGAAGGAATATAATCTTGGCCACTGCGATAAATTATTTGTTAATGTGTTTTGCTTGTTTTTTAAGATAAAATTCCTCAAAGATAATCATGAACTTATGATCCTGTTTTAAAATTACATCGCGAGATTGTACATGTATAAATATTTAAAAAAACGAAAATAGGATTCAAGACTCTTGATTAATGTATTATTATTTTCCATTTTTTCCTCCATGGATCGTTTAACTATTCGTTTAACATTCAACTCGGAATAATGCGATCACCTCTAGACAAACCGTTTTATTACTTTATGGATCGATCTCGCAAGTCGTGACTAAATTAATCCATTTCTAACCAACAGTCTCAATAGCTCACCAATCACCTTGTCTGTTGCAGGATGAGAAGGTCACGATGCTGAGACCCGGATCCTTAGTAGGCCTGCTGGTCCTCGTGGCCGTGCTGAAGATTGCAAACTCGGACCCGCAAACTCGCTGTCTAACAACGTTGGAAGGTAAATCGCCGTTCATTATCGTCAGCCCGATCGTTGTGGCTCAATTACGGCGCATTTGTCAGCTCCGAAAATGCTGATATCATTGATTTGCCATCGGAAAAGCGATGTCATGTGGAATAATCGCTAATTGGCGCGATGGTGAGGCGTGGTCTGGACATTAATTGAATCGCGTCCACGACTCATTTGTAGACGATCACTCATCGTTGTTAATGAATAATTAGATACATCACAAGCTTCACGGCGCGAACGTAATGACGAACTGAATTCGCATTCCGTGCAAGTTAATGTAATCGCGCCGCGTATAGCTTACCCGCTTATTATCGAGCATTTGGATATAGTCATCGTGTAGATTGGCAATGGCCGGAAACGTTCTTCCACCGGCTACATGTTTTTCTCAGATGTTTACATTGTTCGGATCGAGCGATAGAACGGCCTTGCATTTTTATTTGCGGCGATTCTCAACTTGTGTTTTTCAATTGTCAAATAACAATTTTTTATCATTATTTATTATACACGTTCGGATTACAAAGCCCTTTTTGCAGAGTTTCTAATTGTTACCGATTACTTTAATTCTAAAATATTTTAATTTAAAACTTTTAGTCATAATATAAATTTACAAAAAGAAAAAAAAAGTTTTCAAGGGAAATTTCTTTACGATTTGCAGAAGTTAATCCAAAGAGGGTGATTAATCATGAAGGCGATTTCTTGAACATTCAGTTCGAAGTATCGAGAAGAGTCACGCATAGACTGACGTCAGAAGTCATGAAAATTTTTTTAACCGAAGTATTGGGTTACAAAGGTATCGGCATTATCACTAAGGACGACAAATTCAACGCATCCGAGGTCTTTGAGAGGCTATCCGACAAGCCGATGTACAACGAACACAAAATGTAAGATGAACACACGATAATTAATATTCTTTCATTTGCGATTCCGATTCTGGTCTTCTTGATTTATTAAATTTTTTATTTCATCTATTCTTTTTCCTTTTTGTATTATAAACATAATTATAATAGCTTTTTTTCATCATTTGCTTTTCAACGAATTCGTAAATAGCATTAAATAATAGTATTCAATTGTAATAAGTAATAAGAACTTCTAACATGTTAGCATAAAGTGGATAGAATTTATAGTTTTGATATGTATATTCAATTCATACTATAGTAGATATTTTCGACATTAGATTAACAATTGAGAACATCTACTATCATGTTGATTGCAAATATGCTTTGCATCTTCGCTGAGCAATCATATTTCGTCTCAAGCAGCGCTTCCTCCGGCAAATAATCAGGACATATTTTCCAATACTTATATTAAGTTTCTTGCACTGTTTCTCAATTATTTAATAATATTTATTTCTGTGCAACTTTAAATTACAGAACAATATATGTTGCGATATATCAGATATTTTAATTGTTTATTAATAGACTTCGGATTATATGCGAATTGCATATTTGTTATTTCTTGCATATTTTATGAGAGCATTATAATGTAGACAAATTATAATGTTTACAACTAATTAATGTTAATTAATTTTTGCATATTTGGCATATTTACTCGATCTTTGCATATTTTCAAAAAGTTTGCATATTTACATAAATTTTGCATATTTTATTGCATATAATTGAATACATATTTAATTTCTGCTTAAAATATTTATTATTTAAAAATTATTTAAAAGGTCCGAAATTCAACAATTTGGATTTATTAAAAGCATTTATAGTTTCGTGGCAAAAATAATTGAGAAATTAGAAAAAAGGGCATGAACCTGTTAGAATTAATTATAAAGTTCGAAACTTTACGTAAAAATATTAAAGGTAAAATTGGTGCAGCAATTTTTAAAAAATTAAACGACATTTTGAACAAAAATATAGGTTATAAGCTATTAACCAAAGTCAACAAAATTTTGAGGCAAAATAATTGCTAATGATGACAACAACATTAATTTTTTCATTCTTGAATTAATTAGTAAACTTAAAATGCCCCAATAACATCTGTAGATGTATGTATGTTGCGATATATGAGATATTTTGATTGTTTATTAATAATGTGACATATATATGTTATAATATAACATATATATAGTTAATTATTAATATGTGGCAGCCACAAGACAGCAGAATGGAAAAGTCTCAAGTTTTCAAATTTAACGTCTTCTTTTTGTTGCAATAAATAATAAACAATTTATATAAATTACTAGTGATGACGTATTTTTGATATTCTTCCATTATGTATATATATATATATGTTGTCAGAGCATTAAATCGAACTCGGATTTGAATCTATAGCTAAATAAACTCGCATCTTCGCGATTTTTAAACACAGCAGAGGAATATACACGCATTTAGATCGGACGATGAACATTTTTTTTCGATAACAGAGTTCCAGATACGATGGTGAACATGGAAGTGTGGATTCCGCCGCAGCAGGACACGTCGCCGCTGCTAAGTAAATACAACGTGAAGGAATGTGGCTCGATAGCGCCACCGGGACACTTCGGCTGGTTCGTTCCGGAGGCGTTAGTCAAACCCGATGACAGCTGGCTAGTTTTCTCCAGATTAGAGACCGCCAACAGGTTCGCCGTCGACGAGGCATATCTGCCGATCATCAAGAATTCCACGATAAATCCGAATACCACGGATTACTACTGCCGCGAAGCTTTTTGCCAGCATGGGATGTACGTCCCGGAACAATGTCAAAGTCAAGGACAGCAGAGGACGCCGCAATGCGCGCTGCTGCTAGCCGAATACCCGGATGTCACGCTCTTCGTGAAGGAGCATATTGATAAGTTGAAGCTCTACGTCAAGGTGGCGTGGGTGGGTCCGAATCTCAGATACTTGACCAAGAACTTGACTAGGGAGTACATGCAATTCGCGCGAAATTCGTCGGCTTCTGTCGAAAATAGGTACGGCTGATTTCGTAGAATATGTAATTTTGTCGAAACAATCGATATTATGAATTAAAAACGAGATATTTTGCGACTTTCATACAAATTTCTTTCAGATCGCTAGTGATTTTGCACTATTTTCCCAGCACTGTGATACCGAATGAGAGAGAATTTATAACGATATATTTTCCACGTTGCCAAGCGACAAAGGGTTCGATCGGCTGTGCCTACGAGTCGAACAGACTAACGAAGCTAGTGTGGGATAGACTGGATTTGATCGCGAAAATCGCTTTCCAGGCAATCAGTCGCGCGAAGTTTACCCAAGAAATGTACGAGAATTTGATCTTACGACGTGTGCGGGCAGCGAGTGACGTCTTGGACGAACAGATTGCTTGTGAGTGGTTGAAAGAGAATCTGAATTATACCCTGACGGAATGGAAGCCCAACAACGACTACAAGAACACCTTATTTGTTGGTGGAATATTTCCCATGACTGGCAACTCATACATGGCCAAGTCGATTGTGATCGCCGCTAAGATGGCGAAAGAAGTTATCAATGTTAACAACACTCTGCTGAGAGATTACAATCTGACTCTGCTAGCCAACGATGGCCAATGTAAGTCGGACATGGTAATGAAGTCCTTTATCGACTACATCGTACATAATCATTATCAGAAGCTAGTCGGCGTATTGGGGCCGGCTTGCTCGGAAACCGTGGAGCCATTGGTCGGAGTGTCGAAGCACTACAAAACGGTGATTATCAGCTACAGCGCCGAGGGATCCAGTTTCGACGATCGCAGCAAATATCCGTACTTCTTCAGGACTATCGGCGAGAACAAGCAATACAAATACGTCTACCTGCAGCTCTTGCAGAAGCTGGGCTGGCATCGGGTGGCGTCCTTGACGGAAGATGGACAAAAGTACACCGAGTATATATCGTACATGCAGGATATGCTCAGAGATAACGGCATCGCATTCGTGGCAAATGTCAAATTTCCAAGAGAACGAGAAGCCGACGTGATGACGAATGTATGTTTAATTTATGAGAAATTTTATGCAATGCGATAATAATCCACTCTTAAAAAAGGCAAATTAAATCAATACTCGCAAGTATTGTTGTCTCTTTTCCGCGATTTGTTATTTCGATGCTGTATTATGCATATCATGTAATCTTTGAACGAAATATCTTCAGAGAAGTTCTAGTATAATATAAAGATTCATAGAAAAAAAGCTGATTTAAATAAACTTTCAATTTATGTTTAAAAATAACACGATACTTGTACAATTAGAAATTGTGAAATTAATTTTAATACTTTTAATAACTTTTTGCGGAGATAGATCTCTATAAACTGTGATAGATAATTTTAAATATTAATTTTCAGTATCTACAAGATTTGAAAGAAAGGCGAGCAAGAATTATTATCGCAGATGTGTACGGTAAGGTAGCTCGTCAAGTTATGTGCGAAGCATATAAATTGGAGATGACAGCTGTTCAGGTAATAATTATACATCACTTCGCTCATTATTTATGAATAAATTGTAAAAACAAAAATAAAAAAATTCAGAAAATCAACGATTTAATTTTTGTTTGTCAAAGGGCTATGTCTGGTTTCTTCCGCTTTGGCTTCAGCAACAATGGTATGATACCAATTATTACAATGGAATGGGCGAAAAAGTACCTTGCACCACGAGCGACATGATGAAGGCTATAAACGGACATCTCGGTCTGTCACACGCGTACTTTGCTCGCGACGACAGCATAATGCAGGAGGGAATCACGGTGCGTGAATGGCGCGAGCGTTATGAGAACATGTGCCGAACGCAGAATCCTCCGCTACAGCCCTCTAATTATGCCGGCTATGCTTATGATGCTATGTGGACTTATGCTTACGCCATGGATCGACTTGTTCATGAGAATGAGAGCTATGTCTTCGATCTTCACAGTGATCACACGGTCAATCGTCTCACGACCATTATCGGAGAGACTGATTTTAACGGGGTTGGTTCAACAATCGATTAATTTATTGCATGACGTAAAATTAAATATAAGATGATCTATATATATCATAACTTTCCAACAAATTTTCATCAAGAAATAATTCAGTTAAGATTTATCGAAGAATCTGTTATTAAAATATCTTGCGACGATAGTGAATTACTGTATAAACGATGCTTTACGATAACTAAATATTTCCATTTTTTTAGGTATCCGGAAGAATACAGTTCCTAGGTAGACCATCGAGATACTCGGTTGTTAATATCGTACAGTTTATCGATAATGAGACGCGTATTGTTGGTAATTTTTACCCGAATGCCTCGGAAGTCAAACACGAAATAATCGGCGGTACATTGGATTTAAATACATCGGCTTTCGTTTGGTTGTCGGAGACGATACCCGACGATGGTTCGGAGCCTCCGCCGAGATGCGTTTTGGCGGGATTGGCAGAGCTGTTGGATGTCTCTTGCGAAGTAGCGATAGTGGTCGCTAATATTATCGGCTTCAGCCTCCTCGGAGCGCTTCTAATCGTTGGCTTTGTCATGGTTAAGCGAAAGTACGTTAATTGTAAATTATTCTATATTTATTATATCGTAATAGACAATATATAAAATAAAATAAATGTTCTTCAAGTTATTATATTTTTGCATTTTCGTTTAATCATAGTGTTCTGCTATTTTTTATAGATACGACGAAAAAGTGCGGCAACACGAAAAGTATATGAAGTCCTTGGGTATCGATCTGTCACAGACGGACACTTCTAGTTTGGATGTATGGGAAATTCCTCGAGATAGAGTAGTAATCAATCGAAAACTTGGAGAGGGAGCCTTCGGTACCGTTTACGGTGGTGAAGCTTTTTTTCCTGATAAGGGTTGGCTAGCTGTCGCCGTGAAGACTTTAAAAGTCGGCAGTTCGACCGACGAGAAGCTTGATTTTTTGAGCGAGGTCGAGGTCATGAAGAGATTCGAGCACAAGAACATAATCAGATTATTAGGTGTGTGCATAAAGTGCGAACCCGTGTTAACCGTGATGGAATTTATGCTTTACGGCGACTTGAAGACCTATTTGTTGGCCAGAAGACATTTGGTCAATGATCGGAGTTATGAAGATTCCGACGAGATCTCGAATAAAAAATTAACCGCCATGGCGTTGGATGTTGCTAGAGCGCTCAGTTATTTAGCGCAATTGAAATATGTTCACAGGTAAATGGCAAATTTTCAAAATTATTAATTGCAATGCTAATATTATATGTCATAATTATTTTTTTTTTTTGCTTTCTTTACTTATAATTACTTATGTAATTATTATTACATTTTTTTTTCCAGAGATGTCGCTTCTCGCAATTGTCTGGTGAACGCCCAGCGAGTAGTAAAACTCGGAGACTTCGGTATGACGAGACCAATGTATGAGAACGATTATTACAAATTTAATCGGAAGGGTAATAGTATGACATTTTCGTTTTTACAGCATTATAATTTCATAAAAGAACATATTGGCAAATTTTTATTTTGCCCAGGCATGCTACCAGTAAGATGGATGTCGCCAGAATCACTGGCATTAGGTATCTTCACGCCAGCATCCGATGTCTGGTCTTACGGAGTAATGCTCTACGAGATTGTTACATTCGGCAGTTTCCCTTTTCAAGGGATGAGCAACAATGAAGTACTCTCGCATGTGAAGGCTGGCAATTGTCTCACCGTGCCGAAGAAGGTGAAAATGCAGCTGTAAGTGATTATAACGACGTAGTTCGACGATTGTAGCATCTTGTTTAATAGCGATCCTTCTGCTATATTCTATATTTCTATATTTATAGCGAGAGTTTAATGTATTCCTGTTGGAATGTGGACCACACAAAGAGACCATCGGCGCCGGAGATTGTTGATTTTCTGGCGACGAATCCTCGCATCATCTCGCCGTGCCTGGATGTACCTCTGTCGAGTGTGCAGCTGGAGCACACCGCGCAACTTGACATACAACTATCGGAGAACAACCGAAAGTTCTCCATTTCGTGGCCATCGCAGCGTTCAGTTCCGCAAATTCAAGAATCGAAATTCCCGAATTCGCCAACGCCGCTTCTACTGGACTTGAACGGCCATGATGACGATCAGAATTTGGATTCTCTACTAATTGGCATATCCTGCGAACAAGACAGTTCCAGCCCTTTGCTGGACTCTACGAGAGCCTCGATTTTGAAGCAAATGTGGCTCCAAGAGAATTCCAATGACAACCAGGCTCACAGGTACGTCAATCTTCAGCCAGATATGCTAAAATTAGCTTGCGAGTCCGGCAGGAATGGTAGCGCTGGGAACATACAGATGGAGGAAAGAACGTCGATGCTGTCCGAGAAGAAAAGCACCGATAACGTATCAATGCTCTGACATAAGTAGATGATTTTGTGAAGAAATTGGAAACTAGTCAGATGCCTCGAAGTATACGGTGTTCTATTAAAGAGAAGTAACTGTACAAGCTCAACATCAGAATACAGGATACACGATGAACGTCCTGGAATAAAGCAAGAGAATTGACACAAATGATTTCAAGGCATTTGCCTTATTAGCGAATGTAATCGCTTAGCCATACCAAAGGGTTTTTTAAACAAGATCAGAGAAAATCGGCTCTGCGACCGATATGGCATTTTAATTAATTAAATATTCTCTGAATTTTTTCAACATAGAGAAACTATGTTGAGCTAAATGGTTATAATAGCAATGAAAACGTTGACTCTCATAAAAGAATTCCTAGTGCGTTTGGAGATATATGATATCTTGAAATATGCGTACTCGTATAGCGAAACTCTGTCTCGAATAAATTAAAACTCATTGGAGATGATAAGACCTAATTAAAATACCAATCGTCGAAATTCAATTATTTTAATAATAAGATTTTTCCAATATGTGTGTGTCTTTTTGCGTTTTTAAATAGCACATCTAAATTATAGCGCATATGTGTATATTCAGACATATATATAAATATACATATATACATGCATACATACAGACATACATATATTTTTAATGTTTTTAGCAACTCAAAATAAAAACAAAAAATGAGCACCGCTAATAAAAAAGTAATTCTACACGAATATCGGAAGAAAAATGGAAGAGTACCTACGGAAACGAAAGGTCTCTACGGAAATAATATAAAATATATACAAAAAAATCGAGACAGCTAGCTATGGACGGCGAAACTAATTTACCGAATCCAGTTTTGAGACTGACTTCCATTGCGAAATTTAATCGCATTATCTGACCGGTCGTAGACATAGATGACCGACATTATTTATCATCGCAGGCAAATAGCTAAAAGGTACAAAAGAGAAGAATGGCTTCTCGTAGATGTGTTTTTCGCGAAACCGGAAAGACGATCGACATCAATGCATCCTTCATCCAGCAATTCTATCGCCTTCTGCTCAATGCATCTTTAAGACTGATTCTCGAGATGCAAGGGACGCATCGTATCGTTCTTTATCCTTTGTTTTCTTTTATTTCTTGTCGAGTAATAGTTTGTTCGAGAAGAAGCTAGCGCATTTGATTAAATAAGATTCGGTATTTTGCGAGTGATAACGTTCGCGTAACCATGACATTTTTTTCTCGCTCGTTACAGTTAAAAGATCAGTGAACAATTCTTTCCTGCTTCTTAGTATCCCTTCGCGAATGCGACTACACGTTTGTCGATCACATGTTACCACCGCGTTCTCGCCAACACATCACAGGTTAATTAATATTATAAGATTAATCACCGATTGACTGCGAATTCGAACGACAGATGCAATTATTTATTAATATATAACGAGTGGATTTCTTACAAAAGATTTTTATACGGAATATGTTTCTCATTAAGGGTCCACTTAATAGCATTCTTGTATAAAATAGTGTCGCCAGATGACAGATAGAACATCATATTTTGTATAAATAAATTCACATAATATATTTAACCCTTTCCGGCATCAATTGACAGTTCCTTGAGAATTGCTTCTTATGTTCCTGCATTCTCGAATGAATGATAAAACGTCGAAATGTACATAAAATATATGAGCCTCTTATTTTTAAAGAGATGATTACAAAAAATTTTTTGAAGACTTTCGAAGATTTTTTTAGACTCACATATCGCTTTTGAAATAAGTGACTTGTATATAAAAATGAGCGTGCTATTCGTTAAGTGGTAAATGTAAACAATCATGCAACCAGTTACTATACTTGAGTATAATTTAAAGAATTGTTATAGGATTATAAAAAATATACTGGAAAGGGTTAATTTTCAGCATCCGCTGTTCATTATGACTGAATAGCTATACAATTAAGAGAGTTCACCGAAAATGTTCATGTAGAGCATCAAAGACTCCGATAGAAAAGTATTTTTAATTTTCGATTCCAATTCATAACTGTTTGCGCACATTGCGAGAAACATGTCTTCAATTATACTATACTTGTATGTAACGCGCAATATTATACTACGTTCTTTGTATCATGAAAGGCAGTATAGATGATATTCATTCAAGCATCACTATCCGACAATCTTTCTAAGACTTATTTTATTATAGTTATAATTTTTTAATACGTATATTTGCAAAAGCTCAAATAAAAATATAGACAAAAAATCTATGTAGAAATAAAAAAAAGATATATATATAAAGAATATATAAGATATTTATAAAATAATGCAGGATGAGTTAAAAAAATAAGAAAATAATATTTATTTTGTTATTTAAATTTTTTTATACTTATAAAAATATAGTGGCTTTTTTCAAATATAAATCGCTCGAATTCATAACAACATTTATGTACAACTATATACGTGTATATCATAAAAAATATAGAGAGATATTATACGCCAGTATCGCATACATATACATCACAATGATTAGAAAATTAGTTCTTATTTTATTGCGCGTAGAGATAAACTTTTTTTACTATTCGTCTGATCGAGGAATAATACCCACGAATGCATTACGATCGAATATATATTCCTTTGACAGATATAAACTATAGGTTCTTGTAAAAAAATTTTTACATATGTTTGTATGTATACATACCGCGGTATATTACTAAGCCCTTCCTAGTAGTTAACTTTATAAAAATAATGTCGGCAATTTTTTGTCAGATATATACGTCGATTACTCCTAGAGCACGTATATACAACCTTTGATTTTACTCGCTACCGATTATACCAGTGTTATTTATTGTTAAATTACATATATTGTAATTAGGCCCATGGCGAATGGTATTCGCAGCGTACGTTCCTTGAGCGCATGCTTATTGTGCCTTTTGGAATTAAATAATATTAAACATGTGTCTGTTTTTATTACTTGTACACAACCCCATATTTTATCTTTATATATATATAATTTTAATTTTAATTTCAGAATTGGAAATGTATGACATATATCGTGTCACACAAGATATATATATATATATATATATACTATATTTATTTAACATTATTTTTCTTTTATAAGTTTAAAATTATAAAAATATATATGCGCATTACGAGACAATTATGCCATTGTTGTGCATTTATTTCAGATTTGTTCCGTAATATAATTATTGTTCTATAATTGTTTATAAGGGATTACTGAAACATTTTATAATTTAGCTACGATTTTATAAATACAAGAAAAATATGTGGAAGAGAAATTAAAAACAAACGTTATAAAAAAATAACTACATATTATAAAAAAATTAACATGTATATATTGTACATACATACCGTTGACAAGCCAGAAAGAAATGTTTTCCTATATTTGGCGACGCGACGCTACCGCGTCGCTTGATATTGTATTTTGCTCCTTTTATATGGCAACGCAAAAACATCTTCTGTAACATGTGGGATAGCTTCATCCGTACAGTACAGTATTAATTTAGCTATAAAATATAACGTTAAAAGTAAAGCAATTTCTTTGACAAATTATGCCGTTAATAAAATCATGTTAAATTGAAAGAAGAGCAATGAGGCATCTATTCCTTTTTCTATTGAAATAGTTTTCGGAATATCATCAGCAGTTAAATATATAAATGATTTTAGCAGTCATCTTAAGACTTTTACGTTTATGTTTCCTCCGACAGTTTGCGCCACTATGAACTATTGTACTGATTCTTTAATACATTGTTCTGTATGAGTTATATATAAAAAATATTTATAAAATATAAGAAAATCAGCTCTTTTTTTCAGTCCGATAGATTAATTAAAAATTTAAATGTTAAATATTTTTAGTAAGAGTTTACACACATGTCTTTTAAATGTTAATCAAGTATTAATATGTAATTTTTAAATAATTATATTACGATAACTATTGTTTATATTCTCTTGGATATATATAGATATTCGCGCATCACTTTCCGTAATTTATAATTTGCGCTATATATAATATGTGCCAGGTATTTCAGAGAGCCTATCACTCGCTATAATATCTCCATTCTTGGCCGTTTATTTAGCGGTAGGCTAAAAAATAAAGAAAAGAAAAGATTCCGACATTCAAGAAAGCTCTGCGGCGGTGTACACTGTAAGTCTTCTCGAGTGACAACGCATGTATGCGGGTATTCACGGCGAAATACCGCAGATATTCGCGATAATAACGGCAATTCTGTATCTCAACGTGTCTTTGCCACGCGGCTACCTACATAAGTATCTTTACGATATAAATGTATCCGCTCTAAATGATCAAAAGTCGTTCGACCAGTCCATTGTTTACGTGAGCATGTATAGCCAGCCCCAGTTTTTCTCCTAGCTTCTCTAAGTCGAGATGAAGATAACATCGTATGCGCCGGCGAACAGAGGCTGCGGGAGGTCCGCCCGCTCTTTCGTAACAGGTCTTATAGTGTATTCCTACCTGTTCCGACTGTTCTCAGGAGCCCGGTCATTATAATAATTCGGCAGAGGCTCGTGTTAAACGTATCGATGGGTGTCGTCTCGTATCAACGGGCGCCTTTTTTCGATGCGCACGGTTATTACGTGATTTAGAAACAGTGAGTTGCTGTAACATTACAGTATAATTATATCTTTTTAAATGCAAATTCGAGGCATAGATAATTGAGTTAAACTGTGGAAATTTTAAAGAGATATAATATATTTCAATAAGCTCTTTATACCACACTTTTGTCCAAGAAAAAATTCTTTCAAGATTATTGCACTACAAACATATAAATGAGATTGTACTGAGTTATCATATTCCTTTTTGATCGAGAATGATATATAAAGCAAAACATAGTTCTTAATTTTTCATTCTTCATTGTGAGGAATATTAAAAAAATAATTAATATTATTTGTTAAAATATACTAATACATATTTTCTCGCTATATATAATAAATTTATTGCCGACAAATACGTGTTTGCAAATATTAAATAAAAAATAAACATGAGAATGCTTTGGAATTTCTTGCTTTATTACGAATAAGCTTTCGCTAGCTCTGACCTGACCTTTATTTAATTTTTATCGGATATCTGCTACTAAATATAATTTTGCGCAAGTATAATTAATATTTTTTTCTAAAATATATTAATATTCTCTCATTGTGTGATATAAAACTGCGTATATCATTATTTTTACGTATATTTATACGTTATAATAAAATATGTAATTTTAATAATGTGTCTATAGTATGGAATAAGGGAAATTTTCAACCGGTGTAATTGGTTTAATTATAGAATTAATATTATATATAACTGAAGAACTTCTACAACCGGAAAGTACGATTTGCGGTTGTGTTGTCATGTTCGCTGCTATGAGCAATGAAGATTATTAATTCTCCGCAACATGCACGTGACGTAACCATAGACTTATAGAGATAGACTGCGCGCTCTTACGGTGGCTGTCTTAAACATTGAAGGGCAGAGATATAGTGGTCGGATCTCTTTCTCTCTCGCACAGTTGAAGGAGAGGGGATATCGCGGCTGGCGGAGAATGAACGGAGAGGCGAGGAGAAATGCGTATATACTCGCAGTCTCGCTCTCCTACAATTCTCTCCATCACATAGCCGATTAGAAAGAGAAAGAGATCCAATCGTTATCGCTCTCTCTTTCTAATGTTTAAGACAGTCTTTCGACAGGGACGCGCAGTCTATCTCTAT